AAAACCTGCGGGGAACTCTGCAAAAAACGCATCTTCGCACGGGCAGCCCGTGCGTTGACCATTTATCTTTGTACTGCTGTACTGTCCCTTTCTCGTGTCTGCTGCCTCCAATTCTTGCCTCGATCTCCATAAATATTCATTCATTTATATTGTGTAGATTTCACGACATATTTAGCAAACATTTCCTGTATTTTGATAACGAATTGATGACATGATGCGTGATATGTGTGCAAAGTGTACTGCTGAGGCCTATTTCTTCTTTGTAAACATCAGAAGTGGCTAACAGATCGAAGTAGTTGAACAACAGCATTTGTATTAAATTACTGCGGTGATGCTTGTTGCAGTCACTTATCCTTCAGTTCAGTGAAGAATTATGCGCTTGAAGTAACTGTATCGACGATGTGAAAGAAATCAGCTTATAAAATATACTTACAAATTCAACTGTATAAAAGACAAGGGGAATAAATGGCAACGCGCACCAGACTAGCCGGTGCGATCATGCGTTTTGTGCAATTCAGTTCATCGACGATTGCCTATTAACGATTTTCACTGCTTTGTACTTTTGTCTATGCAAAAATAGTTCAAACATTGAAGAAGTTGAAAATTTCACGCATCAGCGTATGAAAGCTGAATTCGAAACCTGGGAGGATGAATATCTTTCCGTGATTCCCGAAAGTTTACCCGCCAAAATTTTCACGAGGCCGTAGGTGGTACCCGAGAGCGCGAGAACGCTGAATTTGGATGGGCAAGGTTGAGCGTGGGCAGGGGGATGACCAGAGTCCAGGAGGCTGGAATTTTAGGGGGATGACCCTAAAATTCCAGCCTCCTGGACTCCGTGGTTCCCGAGATATTAACTTACCCGTTAAAAACTTTCATGGGGCCGCACGTGTTACCCGCGGGTAAGGGATAGCTGAATTTGAATGAGCAAGGTTGAGCGTGGGCAGAGGGTCATTGCCCCAAAATTTCAGCCTCCTAGACCCCGTAGTTCCTGAGATATTAACTTACCAGTAAAAAACTTTCACGGGACCGTACGCGTTACCGCGGGTACAGGGAAGCTGAATTTAAATTTGCGGGGTCATACGTGGGTGGGAAGCGTTCCCCTAAATTTTCAGTTTTCTAGCTTTTGTGATTCCCGAGTTGAAAGTTGCGGACAAGTTGCTGCGGACACACACACACAGACAACCCAGTGACAATATGCGTTTTGTATTGCTGTTACACAGCATAAAACGCATAATAAAAAGGAACTGAACCAATGTAGATACGTCTTGAAATGATACAAAGAGGAATTACGCCCGTGGAACCAAAATCAGAAGTCGATATAAACTAAATGATTTAAGACCAATAAGCAGCAGCCTGCACCGGGGTAGCTGGCTGATTATGCGTTTGCTTTTAAATTCAGCAACGTTTGCTTTTAAAAATGTTTGCTGTTTTACTGTTTGATATGTGCAGAAATCGCCAGAATATTCCTATGGGTCAAAATTCCCAAGCGACCGCACGTGAAACCCGTGCGTATATGGAAAAAGTGAATCCGAAATTTCATAGATAAAAAAAAAAGAACGTTTATCCTTAAATACATTTAGGTACATTTATTTTGTTTTTGACGAATGATCGATATATCGACAGTATTAAGCCAAATATACATTTGCACCAATCCCCCACGTTCGCAAAAGAGTATCGCAGCTCAGTCATGAAAAGCAAATAGCATTCAAATACTTTGAGATGGCTGTTGGCTTGGATGCGCACTGCTCGATCTCGACAGTACCTGAAACAACTACCGGCTCAATTAAGAAATATCTGAACAAACAAACTGCATTTCAAGCAAGAAATGAACTGTGTGCTTTGATGTGTACTGAGTCCACGAGATACTGGCAGTTCATTGAAGAGATGGACCAACCGAAAGGAATGCCATTTTGGACAAATAATTCGTGAATTCATTGGTACTGCCCCACTTGCAGCGTACATAACCATACAAGTTAGCTCCATTCATTGCTAAACCCATTAAAGCAATCACCATCCATTCCCATTTCAGCGTCACAAATGCAACGCACACCAAAACTGCCCACATTGCCGGAGCTGCGACCAATGCGCCCCAAAAAACTCGTCGTTCAAGTGGATCAAAACGCGACATGTCCTGCTCAAAACATAAAAATTATTGAAAAATAATCACTACAGTGATACATTCAAACAAAAACTACTTCTATCGAAAACGACAACCCACCGCCAGCACCACCTTCTCCTACTTCTCTACTCTTTTTTCAAAAATCAACTCAAAATGTATTTCAGTGAAGTATCAATTTGTGCCTATATGAACTCTTTCAAATACTTCCGAGCAAAATTTAATGTCTGAAAAAGGAATTAGCAATTCAACAACTCTGAGCTTATTTTAGTGCTTCTTCATCCAATCCGATCGGCTAAATTTAACGTGCCAAAAAAAATTCAATACTTCATCTTCCTTCCCCCACCCCCTCCCTTCAATCCCGCCTGAAAATTTTACGCCATTTCAAATGTTCTTACGTATGGTACACTTGAAAAAGCGAATGATGAAACAGATAACTTTACAAAAACGAAAAATGCCACGGCAACAAAGATATGGCGAAGAACTTCAGTTCCTCCTTTTCAGAACGTTGAAAAATTCAACAGTGTAAAGAGCAGCAATAAAAGAATGCCCTAAACTGTTCACAGCAACAACAAACCTTGGCTGATTCGTATCGCCAGTGATTATTTCCTTCGGCATCCACAAAATTCCACCACCGAAGTCCGACAAGAAGGCGGCCTGTTATATTTTTCACGGTCCAAAAATCAATTGAAAGCAGCGTGAGCTAAAAAAAAAGTACTGCTAAAACTCAGTATCCAAACAACTGCAATTTTTAAAAAATCCAATACAGAACGATGCTTTGAAAAGGTTTTTAAGCTT